CTTCTGGTGTAAGGGGAAAGTTTCAGAGACTGTAGAAGATAGTTGTGCTGAGCCTTGAAGTGTAAGCAGGATTTGGCCTGGCAGGAACATGCAGAGAGTGGACATCACTGAGTGGTAATAGCATGTAGGAGGGATAGAGGCATGGGCTACTCAGAGAACTGAGGGAAGGGTGTGGCTAGACCAGAGCGTGGGTGACCAGAGCATGGGTAGGGGAGGAGGGGTACCTTCAGTTAGGTGGATGGTGGAGGGCTTTGTTTGCTGCACTAAAGTTTTTGAATCCTTTAGCCAAACCAGGAAGGTAGGAAAGAGTAGGTCTAGTTGGATGTGAGTTCAGACTCCAAGGGCTTATTGACTTGGGGAAGTTACTTCACCGTCATCTGCAAAATGGGGGTAACACTCATACTTGTGGGTTAGCTTTGAATGATAATGAGCTAGTGAGTGGAAAGTACCTAATACAGTGTCTGGAACACAGCAAGTATTCACTAGCTATTACCTACACCTTGCTAATATTTCTTTACCTTTTCTGAATCAGATTCCTTTGAGAATGGATGAAGCTTCTTCCTACACACAGCATTTCGTGTATAATTCAATGGGGTTCACAGACCCCCCAACCCCCACACTGGATGCCAAGTTAAGAACCCTACTGTAAGATAGGGAATTATCTGAAGTTTTAAGGCAGAAGAGTGTTAAGACCAGATTTGACTTTTATGGGGGAGGGCAGAATCTGGACACTGGGGACAGAAACGATCTGTGGTTCTCAAATCTGACTACACATTATAGTCATCTTCTTCAGCTTTACTCCCCAGATATTCTGATTTAATTGGCCTGGGGTAAGGCCAGGCATCAGGATTAAAAACCTTCCAGGTGATTCTAATGTATAGCCAGCTTTGAGAACCACTGAATTAGGTTCAGTGTTAGTCAGCTGGAGAGAGGAGAATAGCAGTAGAGTAGGAATGGAAAGAAGGCAGCAAGGATGGAAAGGAAAAAAGAGGAAAGACCTGTCAGCCCCAAGAAAGAAGACACCTACTAAGAAGGGTTCCTGGTGACTACTGTGCTCAAATGTAACAATGGCCTAGAAGCCATTTCCAAACAGGGGACTCAAGCAAACCATGCTTCAGGGAGAAGCCTGCACTAAGCTGCCTGCCACTCACACTGAACTGCCTGTGCACACTGCATTCCTGCCAGCTGAGCCAGTTCTTATAAAGGGGTTCCTGAGTCATATTTCAATCAATGGGACTGAGTCTTACTCCATCCCATTGGAGCTGTACTGACCAATCAGAGCAACTCCATTCTGCCCAATCAGGGCAGTGCTATTTGTACCAATCAAACTGTGAGGATTTGGAGTCCTCATCTGCATGAGGACAGCCTAATCAGGGAAGGTACTTTTGACTATATAAGTAAGCTCCCCTGTGCTTTGGGGTGGGCACTTTCCCTTTCCTCTGAACTGTAAGGATTATGTTCAGGGGATGATGTTCAGAGCAGCACAGACAGCACAGGCAGAGTGGGCTGGACCAGAGCAGAGCCCAGCAGAGCTGTCTGCTGGAGAGGGCCGCCTCACAGCCGTGCTGTCTCCCAATTGACTGTAACTCAATTGCGCTGTCTCACAACCTTGCTGTTCTACAATCATGCTGTATCACAGTTGAGTTGTTTGCTCTGAATAGTTTCCTTCTTCACCCACCCTGAATTGGGGATTATTCTTGGTGTTGAATTAGCACCAAGGACCATTGATTGACAGGTTCCAGAAACATCTTGGAGATAGAATCAGTAAGTCTGTGTAACTTATTAGATGTGGTGAGAGAAGAGGGCGTGAGGTCATCCCATTCACCCAGACAGAAGGGGGGAAGGAGATACTTACATTTTTTTACTTACTGCTTTTTCTTTAATATGTAGGAGGCAAGAATTGGGAAGAAAAAAGGTTTATTCAATGAACATATACTTAATACAGACAGTCCTGACTTACACTGGTTTGACTTACAACTTTTCCTCTTTACAATGGTGTGGAAGCAATATGCATAATAAATTACATGAGATAATCAATACTGTATTATAAAGTTGGCTTCGTGTTGAATGACTTTGCCCAACTGTAGGCTAATGTAAGTGCTCTGAGCCTGTTTAAGGTAAGCTAAGCTATGGTATTTGCCAGGTTAGGTATAGTAAATGCATTTTTAACTGATGGTATTTTCTGCATACAATGTGTTTATTGGTACATCCAATAATAAATCATATCCAATCATAAATCAAGGAGCATCTGTATCCATTTATTAAGTGCAAACTGTGGGTTTAGATTTACTTTGGACACTTTTGAAATGACTGCAGAACATGCAAATGTCACATAGGCAGCTGCAAAATACCAGTGCAAGTAGTCATTGGTCGCTGGTTCATGGCCAGGTGGTTGTAGAAGGATGTGGATGAGGTTGTTCGGGAGGACAGAGGAGACAAGGCCACCAATTATGGCACTCAGAAGGTCAGGGACTCCTGAGGCAACACTGAGGAAGAGAAAAGCATTGGTGTGGGATGGTGAGGACCATGAGAGAAGGAGGCAAAAGTTTCGAGAAGGAGTAGGTGGGTGGCCATTGTGTAAAATACAACAGAGAGGTAGTCTGAGGTGAGGACCTAGAGGAGCAGGCTCCGAGCTTGATACTTAGGAGGTGGCCATGGCTTTGGAGACAGTGGCAGGGACAGAAGCCAAATTCCAGAGGGTGCAGACAAGAAGAAAGTGAGGAAGCATGAGCATTGGTGTAGGAAGTTTGGGGCAAAAGCATTGAAAACAGTAGCTGCATGGAAGGAAGGGTGGAGAATCAGAGCTTTTCTTTTCGGTTGGAGTGGCGTTATTGTAGTCTGAGGGGAAGGAGCCAGGCTGGAGGAAACCATCAAAAATACAAATGAGGGAGGAGACAGCCCCTGGAGCCAGGGCTCACGAACTCTGGGAGAAGAATTGTTGTGGGGTAACAGTAGGGATATTGTTTCTTTTAGGTAAAAGAAAAGGAGTTTCTAGAATGGTAAAGTCCTTCTGTCTGAGAAGCCATCCGAGGTCATTTCTGTACCCCTAGGCAGCTTCCTACCTATACTATATTCTCCTTTCCAATTCCAAGTCCCAGAAATCAATCTGTTTCTTTCCCTTCTCAAATGCTGCCACCATGCCTGGCCTTGAGGCTGGCTCGAGAGTGAGCTGCAGTAACTGAGATTCCCACCTTCCTCACAGTTCCAAAAGAAAAGTAAGGGCCTTTCTTTGGCAGTTGATGGTTAGTCACCATGTGGGGAGAAAGCAGCTGAAGTTACAAGAGTTACAGATTCCATGCCCTGACCAGTGTGGCTCAGTCAGTTGGCCATCATCCTGCAAAGCAAAAGGTCACTGGAGAGGTCACAGGAGAGGCAACGGCTGGATGTTGTTTCTCTCCCTCTTTTTCTCCTCCCCTTCCCCTCTCTCTAAAAGTAAATAAATAAAATCTTTAAAGAAAGACTTATAGATTCTCACAGTTCTTCGGTAACTTCCTCTGGTTCCCTTTTCCTTTTCAAGAGGGTGCCCCCCTCTGCCCTCTGCATCCCTTGCATGGCTCTCGCTTTCAGGCGCTTTCTGGCCATTCCCTCCTTCCTCCTGCTACCAGTGGCGCTCAGTCTCCTGGTTGTCCTGCCCGCTGACTCCCCTGCTCTTCTTGACCTCTAGATGTTGGGTGTCCAGGGCTCTGTCCCATGCTCTTCTCGTCCCCAAATACACCCTCTCCACGGGTCATCTCACCCAGTCCCATCACTTTAACTCTTATCTCTGCTGATAGAAGAAATACCTAAACCTATAGAGAGTTTTTACGAGTTTATTTGACCCAAACTGATTACAATGGCAAGGTCTCAAAGGCTCTGGAGGATAACAGTTTTGCAGTTTTGTTTATGCATTTGAAATTAAGGAGGGAATGCAAGAGGGGAGAAAACGAGGCAGGATTGGATTACAGGATAAATGATATATGCTCTCTAGGGTGGTTATGACTTTAAGGGGTATATCTTCTGGTATTTCAAAGGTGTGTTAACCTAGATGCATAAGAACAATGGAGAGGGCTGGCTTAAAACCCTTTCACTGAAGAAGTTATAGGCCTGGGGCTGGACTACCCACCATGACCTTCACAGGTAGGAATTTATGATCAGATCACCCTGTGAGGTTACTTTCCACGGAGCCCCCTTTTCATCCATATCTCTATGCTGAGGTCTCCCCAGTTCTGACCTCTCATTCCAACACCTCAACTTGTGACTGGCATGTCCATGTGAACATCTCATAGGCCTCCGAATCTTAACATGCCCCAATTTTCTTCTCCATTTGCCCCTCCCTCTATTTCAACTCTCAACACATGCCAGTAATTGTTCCTCAGCTGCTTAACCGAAACCTGAGTCGTTCTTGATTCTCTGTTTCACTTGTCTTCCAAACACAATCCATTAGCAAATCCTTTGACTCTACTTCTAAAATACAGGGTCTGGCACAAATAACACCTCTTTTTATTACAAAATATTTCATTAGAAAGTCATAAGCATGTAATTCTGTAACATAACAACATCATACTCAAGCACACCATATGACACTATAAGTGAAATATTCAAGTTAGAGCTATCAATTATTACACCCATATTATTACCCTACCAACCACACTCAAACAGGCCTTACCTCTGCCAGACTCTGTATATTGACATCTGTCCATATCCTCCATCTCCAGTCTAGCCAGTGCTACTCAGAAAGTGGTTCGCAGCCCTGGCTGGTGTGGCTCAGTGGATTGAGCACCAGTCTGCGAACCAAAGGGTCACACATTCAATTCCCAGTCAGGCACACGCGTGGGTTGCAGGCCAGGTCCCCAGCAGTGTGTGCATGAGAGGCAACCACACATTGATTGATGTTTCTCTCCCTCTCTTTCTCCCTCCCTTCCCCTCTGTTTAAAGATAAATAAAATCTTCTGGGGGGGGGGGCAGTTTGCAGAGCAGCAGCAGCAGCATCACCTGGGAGCTTGTTTAAAATGCAAAAATCTGTGCTTGTTTCAGCAACACATACTAAAATTGGAACAATACAGGGAAGATTAGCATGGCCCCAGCACAAGGATGACATGCAAATCTGAGAAACGTTCCATATTTTTTAAATGGTGTTAGGAGAACTGGACTGGTACATGCAAAGAAAAGAAAGTAGACCACCACCAACTTATATCCTACACCAAAATAAACTCAAAATGGATAAAGGGCTTAAGTATAAGTCGTGATACCATAAAAGTCCTAGCGGAAAACACAGGCAATAAAATTTTGGACATCCTACACAGCAATATTTTTACTGATACATCTCCTAGGGCAAGGGAAATAAAGTGAAAAATAAACAAATGGGATTACCTCAAATTAAAGAGCCTCTGAATGGCTAAAGAAACCATCATCCGATGAAAAGAGGACTGACTGTGTGGGAGAAGGTATTTGCCAGTGATACATCGGACAAGGTTTAATCCCTAAGATATGCAAAGAACTCAAGTGGCTCAACACCAGGAAGACAAACAACCCAGTTTAAAAATGGGCAAAGAACCTGAACAGACACTTCTCCAAGGAGGACATACAGAGAGTTCATAGGCATATGAAAAGATGTTCAGAATCACTAGCCATCAAAGAGATGCAAATTAAAACCACAGTGGGGTATCACCTCACACCTGTAAGAATGTTTGTCATTAATAAACCAACAAACGAGTGTTAGGGTGTGGAGAAAAGGAAGCACTAGTGCACTGTTGGTGGGAATGCAGTATGGAATTTCCTTAGAAAACTAGTAATCGGACTATCTTTTGACCCAGCAATTCCACTGCTGGGATTTTACCCTAAGAACCCTGAAACACCAATGCAAAAGAACCTATGCACCCCAATGTTCATGGCAGCACTATTTACAATAGCCAAGTGCTGGAAACAGCCTAAGTGCCCATCAGTAGAGGAGTGGATTAAAAAACTGGTACATCTATACAATGAAGTACTACACAGCAGAAAGAAAGAAGAAATTCCTATCTTTTGTGACAGTGTGGATGGAACTATAGAGCATTATGCTAAGTGAAACAGGCGAACCCATGAAATACAAATACCATATGACCTCACTTATAACTGGAATCTAATGAACAAAATAAACTAACAAGAAAAATGAGAAAAATAGAACCAGGGACATGGAAACATGGAACAGACTGATAGCTGTAGGAGGGAAGTATAGGGGGTGGGAAAGGTGGAAGGAAGGCGATGGGATTAGTCAAAGCACATGTGTCAATGACTCAGAGACGTGGACAATGGAGAGGAGGTTGACCGTGGACGGGAGGGGTAGGCTGGGTGGAGGGGGCAAAGGGGAAAATTGCAACAACTGTAATAGAATAAACAATAAAAATAAGTAGAAAAAATGTTTAAAAAATAAAATGTAAAGGTTTTTCTAGAATAAGAAACTGTGGGGAGGGAGACGTTCAGGGGATTCTGAAGCCCTGAAGTTTGAAAGGCATTACTACTGTGGGACAAGCCTTTCTGATCTCTGTCTGAGCCACTTCAGTAGCCTCCAGAACTGGTCTCTGGATTCACTGCCTTGCTTGATACAATCTGTTCTCCTCCTAGCAGCCAGAGCCATTGTTTAAAAAAAAACAATTAAGTCAGATTATGTCACACATACACACCCTCCCCTCCCCCACCATCAGTTTACAACCTCCCACAGCTTTCCACTCAACCTTGGACAATCCAAGTTCTCTTTCCTGGCCCACAGAGCCCCAGGGTGAGATCGGGCCACACCTACCACTCCAGCTTCTGCCAGCACCTCCCTTCCCACTGTCTCCAGACTCCAAGTAAACGGGCCCTTCCCTTCCACGGGTGCACCCAGGCGCACCAACTTGGGACTTTTGTACTGGCTGTTCCTCTACCTGAAACGCTTTCCCCCTGAACTTTAATAGCTGGTTTCCTTATGCCATTTACTTCTCATTGTGAGCGGCACCTCCTTTAGAGAGGGCTTCATCACCTAACCAATCCAAAGTAGCCCCTCCTTAATAAAGCACATGGTTTTAACCCTCTGAGTGGTACTTATTACCATCAATTTGAAATTTGTTCTTGCTTACTTATTGACCAATATATCTAAATATTATGAGAATAGGGACTTGGCTTGTCTTGTTCACTGCTGTGTCCAAATACCTGGAACGGTGCCTGGCACATAGTAGATGTTCAATAGTTATTGGCTCAGTGAACTTTACCTCTTCCTTACTTGTAGGCCTGAGGTTGCTACTTGAGATTGAGTGTCTGCTCAGATGCCCACTCGCTCCTCTCATGTGGCTGCATTTCTAGGGTCCTGCAATCAGCACGTTTCTGTGGGCCCTGACCACGTGATAGTGTGGTCCCTGTAGAGCACATCTCAAAAGGAGGCAAGAACCCAAGAAGACGGTAACCTCAGAGAGAGGTGAGAATGTGAGAGGGCATCAGCAGGCTACGTCCTTGGCATTTCGGAGAGGAAATCTGAAAGTTGAGGCCCGAGGGCCTCTATTGTTGTGTGGCTGTTGAGTAGTGGGTGAAGTTGCCTCGTTTTTAAGAACCTGAGTTTTGTGGTGAGAGAAGTCTGGTTCAAACGCGGTTCTGCCATTTACTGCTGTGAGACCTTGGGCAAGCTCCTGACACGGTGCAAGCCTCAGTTTCCCCATTTGTGGATGGGGAGTAACAGTACCTATCTACAACACAGAACTACTGTGTCTTTTTTTAAGATTTTATTTATTTTTAGAGAAAGGGGAAGGAAGTGAGGGAGAAAGAGGGAGAGAAATATCAGTGTGTGGTTACCTCTTGCACACCCCCAACTGGGCACCTGGCCTGCAACCCAGGCATGTGCCCTGACTGGGAATCGAACTGGTAACCTTTTGGTTTGCAGGCTGGTGGTACTCAATCCACTGAGCCACACCAGTCAGGGCCAGAGTCTTAATTGAGATCTCTCTAATATACTTGGTAGATGGTGAGCCATACCATAAATGCCAGTTATTATTATTATTGTTGTTATTATTTTATACTGAAAGTATGAATAATACTGACGACTCAAAAGAAAAAGTACTGACATACCCATAAGAAGAAAAATGCGTGTTAGAAGTACATTGAAATCTCATTCATCGCCTTCTAAATTGTCAAAACCTAGAAAGACAGCAGACACTGTTGGTGGCGATATAAGGAAGCTGGTGGCCGGGTCAATGGTACACCCCCCCCCCCCGCCACACCTGCAGAGAACATCAGCAATAGCTAACAAAATTCTAGATGAACATACACTTTGGCTCAGCTAATCCGCTCTTAGGAATCTGTGCCGCAGATATTCTGGTGCATGTACAAAATCATATATAGGAAGTTTATTCATTACACACTGTCTGAGTATCAAAATATCAGAGGCAACATTGATACCCATTAGTAGGGAACCGGTTAAAGAGATCATGGTATATCTACATAATGTCACAGATAAAATGAGAAAGTTTCTTTATCTCCTGTTGTGGAACACTTTATAAAGTTGATTGGAGAAAAAATAAAATGAAATAAATTGGCAAAAAAAGCAAGGCGCAAGATCAGATGCAGAGTAGGATGCAGCAAAAAGTAGGCCCTGGGGGAGGAGAATATGTGTGTGTACAGACTCTTGTACAACCAGAAGACCTCTGAAAGGACAGAGTGGAAGGAATAATTTTTATTGTACCTTTTAGTGTCTTTTGAATTTTGAACTGTGTGGATGCATTATTATTTTAAATTACGCATATTCTGTTTTTAAGAAAGTTAATTATTAGTACTAATGCACAATGCCTCTCATTATTTGATGACTGGATCTAGGAATGTTATATCTGTCTTCATAATTACTAATTTGAGAGTCAAAGGCTCTCAGAATTCTTGGGTGCCCCTCTTAACACTGCAATGGTTGGCTTGCAAAGGAGATGCCCACGAGCAGATGATAAACTGTGCCTGTGGTTATCCATGGCATCCTGAAGATGTTCCAGATTTCTTCTAAGTTTTTGAAGAGTTTAAAAACAACTTTTTTCTTTCTGAATTTTTCTAAAATATAGACAAATAGCACTTATCTGGAAAAAACAAGTAGCATTATCTGGAAGTTTTCTAACAATATGATTGATTGTAAGAGTGCTCTTTTAGAAAGAAGCAAGAAGGAAAGTGAATAATATACTTTTCTTTACACTTCTTCTGCACTTCTTCTAGCTGGCAATGTTGTGAGAACGCCTAACAAAGAAGAGCTTAGAGGAAGGTGAGGTTGGCCCCAAAAGGGCACTGCCCCTCCACTTTAAGAGTCCCTTTTCCCGACTGCCCTTACTCCCACCAGACTCTGCCTGTCTCCCCCAGCTTCCTCACCACACACATTGTCACACCTCAAGCTTTTTCCCCCTCTTGCTTCTGATTTCTTCCCAACCCCCTGACTCCCTGTGAATTTATTTGCCCTGTACCCTACTACTCGAGGCTCAGGGGATATAGGCAGGTGCTGATATTAGTGAATTGGTTACATAATTTTATAAACATTTATTGAATTCCTACTAAGTATCTAGCACCACATCAAGTGCTAGGAACTCAGAGAATAAGAAATAACTCTAAAAATTATATCAGGGGGCTCACGGTCATTTTGGGGAGACATAATTAGAACATAGTGTAGAAGTGCATAGGTGTTATGTAAGCATTAGGAAAGGGCACCCAGCCCAACTTTGGTGGGAGAAGGGTGCTAAGGAGGGATTTCGGGGGAGGTAGGGCCTGAGTGGGGTAAGTGGAAGTTAACCCGGGGAAGAGGAGGTCTGGGGGGTGACAAGTTGAGGTTGGGTGTTGGGTGTGAGGACTAGAGTGAGGAGGGGCCTGTGGCATTGGTGGTGGTGCGGTTTCAGCAAGAGCAAAGACTTGAGGGTGAGAACAAACCCCAAGTATGTGTGTGTTCCTTCATTTCAGCGAGGGCATCATGACATGTGCAGCAGAAAGTGGCAGAAAGTGAGGGAATGGAGAGTTTCAGGAAGGAGGAAGTAACCAAAAGGTCAAATGCAATCGAGGGCCACCTACCAACAAGTAATAGGTCATTGATGACCTTTACAAAGCAGTATTTCAGGACTTGGTAGGACCTGAGTGAATGACACAGAATGACATGAAGCTAAGGTTA